AGTATATTTGTACCCTTAGTAAGTAGAGTGTGCAAACAACAGTGCTTTTGCTTTGGAGTGTGCAGTCATTAATTTTACACTACTTATTTATTCATTATCCTGTGCTCTGTGTTTTGTTTGTATGTGTAAATATTAGGGTTGCACAATTGCACTTTATTGTATTTTGGCTAATCTGTGTTGCAGTTTTAGCACATAAATAATATAGATGTATAGGGATATCCGATTTAAATTGGTACTGCCACATATTTGCTTTTTCACAGTAGCCATAAAAGACAATGTCCTCTTGTTTTGGAGATCTCTCAGCTTTTGCACTATTAGCCCCTTAACAAGCCATGGGCCCACCAGAAGGCCCTAAGTTTTATTAGACATTTCTATTACTTAAGAAAAGCTCCATTAGTTTGCATTTAAGTTCCTGTAGTTACTTAATATTAAGTCTTTGTATGAAATAAACCTGTAATGTGGATGAATTAGTTTGTTTCATCAAAACTGAAACAAACTGGATTTTCAGCTTTGTAAGTGAGCTTGCAAGTGAACATTTATTGAAGTGTTTTTATTGTGTTTAATTTTTTATGGCAGTTATACACAATTTTGTAATGTCAAGAAAGGTGTAAATAGTTTTCACAGCAGGGGGCTCTTCACCCCTCATTGCTCTCTAGCAGTTTAACACAGAGTCCCAACATTTCACACGTAGAGAGCCAGCAGTGTCCTAGTTGATAACAAAGTGAAGGGGGAAAGTGTTTCATTTCATTTGGATTTGGAATGGAATGGATTTCCATTTGCCAGCGGAATGGCAGCTAGAGGGTCTGCAGAAAGAGGTAAAAAATTAATAGCATCAAACAGATGTTTAGATTTGACTGATATTTCAATTCCATTTTTTTATGTATTTATTGTATGAATGTTTAGTTGATGCTGGGCTACTGAGCTAAAAGAGGTGCGTTTTTTACTGCATTTGTAACCACAGAAATATGTTATATTTCTCTGTATTGTGGGTAGATTTACATTTTATGAATGTTTATGTGTCAGTGTTGGCAGATATGTACATGAAAAATATCAGATATTGTCATCGGCCCACAATATCAGTGCATCCCTAGTAAATATTCTTAATAATTTTAATTATTATTTGAATGCTGCTGCTACATTGATATCAGAATGTTGCATGCAGGACTTGTTGTGCTAAAGAGCCAGCTGCCCCTTTCTTTTGATGTAGCACTTTAGATGCTTTGTGTTCTTTAAATACTTTTATTTAATTATAAACTGCTTTCTCATTTAAAATGTCATTTGACTCATTATAGCCAATAATGTTATGAATGTTGCCATGTTGGCTATAAAAAAGTACTGGTAAAAGTGTAAAAAAAAAAGGTGCATAAAAAAAGTGACCAAAAATTTAGGTGGTAGGAAACTACAACTAGAGTCATTCATGATCAGTGCTTCCCGTGTACATGTAAGTCTATTATGTGCAATTTCAGATTCAAACAATTTCGATGTTTTATGCTGCTGTAGCACCTAGATTTTCTTTTTAGGATCAGTAAAGTACGTCTGTCATCATCTAACAGGATATTAGAGAGAGTCTCCTCACACTAACAAACACTTATTGTGTGTAATTAATAAAGGTAGTAATCAGACTGCTCTGAATATTGCAATAAATCCCATGTGTCAAACATAAGGCCCAAGGACACAATCATATCCGGCCCGCAAAATATTTTAATTTTCTGTTGATATTAGCTTGTTTCACAATGCGCTGCACTACAGTCCCCAAAATGCACTGCAGCAATCTATGGGACAGCGGTTACACCTCAATTCTACACAATTCTACACAGTTACACACCAGTCATGTCACCAAACATACTCACTGCAGTTCAGCCAATATAAACACCTAACGTTAGCCCAGCAGCTCAGAATTTGAGCCCAAGTCTTAGTGAACTTGCAGCAAAGAAAGGATGCCAGGTGTCTAGATTGAGCTCCTGGGGACATTTAAATTTTGAATATTTCAAGTATTCATGTAATATTTCAAGTGCCTATATTTTACTGCTGAAGTTTTTTAAATAAATAGTGGTCTGTTTGGTTTATAGCGAAATGTTAATTAAAAAAGAAATAAAACGCAGGTGTTCTCTGGCCCATGGATTTGTTAAGATGTTTTAAAATGGCCCTTTTAGTGGTTGAGTTTGACACCCCTGGTATAAATTGACCTTCTAATAGTATGTTAACAGAACGGCAATGCCAGACTAGTAGTGAGTGCATTCAAAAGCAGAGTTTATTGAACAAGTCCAAGACCAAAAAGCACCTGAGGGCAAAGTCAGAGGGCAAAATACAATACTGAAGCTGAAAAAAGACAACTGCAAAAAAACAAGGCAGAGAGAATCCAAAAAATGTTTCAAAGTTCAAAACAAGAGGGCAAAAATACAGAGAAGCACCTCAGAATTGTCAACAGTAAAATGGCAATACCTTGTAAGGAGGAAAGGAAACCTTTTGCTGCTGCTCCTGTCCTCTCATTTCCCACGGTCTTCCAGGGTAGAACAGGAGCTGAAGGAGTAGGAAGAGTGTAATTGGGGAAACTTTGGGCTTATTCAGACAAGTCTTTAAACACTGAACAGCATGAAAAGGCTAAGCCAGTGATCAGAGGCCTGACTGGGGTTTGCTGAGCGCAGATCAGAGTTGCCTCAGTGGGGGGGCACGACGAGAACAATTATCTATGTCTTATATTGTCTTAATTTATTATTTAAAGTTCATTGAACTCAAAATTTTAAGGCAGCGAACTGGACAGTCCTGACCTTTTAGCTCTTTCCTTAAGGCTACATCTTGGTTACCCTGGCTGCATTAAACCATGAGCTTAGACTTTAAATATGAATAGTGCACAGAAATCTGATTTAGAAAGGAAATGTGCACAGTCCCTCAAAATAATACTTTCAAATATTCCATCAGTAAAATATCCATCAAATATTCATCATTCTTTCCTCTCAAGGTCACCCATGGCATATATACGCCTTGAAACACCTCCTACATTTTGTTTTGTTTCCTTTAAGGCCACTGCACAAAAAAGTGTGTTTCTGCTGTTTAATCTGCTCATCACTGATATTGGAACGATTTCTCAGCGCTGTTGTTGCATTTGTTTTGATATGTAAAGAATGGAATGTAACAAAGCTGGAAATTCATAGATGTTTATTTAGTTTGCATTGCAAACTAGTCGAATGAATGAACTGAATGTGCTCCCTACAAAGCATCCAACAATAAAGGAAGCCTTGTGCACCTTTTATACAGTCGTAGGAAACATGGCAATACACAGAAAACTCTTCTTCTGGCTGATACATTTAACTAAAGTCAGCAGGCATGCATGCCCCCGTCACTCCTCTGGTGGCAGACTTAAATGAGATGAAGGGGCCATTGCCAGAAGACTCTCTGTATGAATGCCAGTGAGGTGTTTCTCTTATTGAGTTTATTTCTGACTCATTGCAACAAGTGGACTTTCAATCCATAACACTGGTCTTTGTGTTTATTGTGCTTTGAATTTGATTGAAAGTTATTGTTATGGAACAAAACAAACAAAAAAAGCATGCTTTACACTTCGGCATGCTTTTGTCATTGAAACAAGCAAAAAGAACTTAGAAGTAAAGGCTTAATTCCCCCTAAGAATGTAAGTGTAATTCCTTTTGTAACTAACTATGTCATTCACTACATAATTACATATCAATAATTAAGGTGTGTAAATTGTTAAGGGAATAGTTCAGCAAAAATTCCCCACATGTAGTCGATGAGCCAAGACATGTTCAAATTTGCCTTCTTAGGTTTAGCGGTGGAGCTGTGAGGCTAATGTAGCGAACAAATACTACAGGTCAATAGTCAACCAAATCTTTTCTCTAAATACATCCCCAAAACTTCTCTCAACCCGCACAAACTCCTTCTAGGTCTTCAGTAAAGTTGCACAGACTTGTCAGTGTGGTTTAGGACACAGTATGACTTGTGCTGCATTCACATGTACGCGACAGACGGACAACGGCAAACAAGGTGGTCTACTGTTTTAAAGTTCTGCCACCACCAGCAGCAAAGTTCCACAGATTGCAGTGGTAAGCAGAACATTCCATCATCCATGTTGATGTTTTTGAGAGCCATGACATGCCCCCATCACAGGACGCTGCCCACAGGACACTGTTGGCTGGATATTTTTGGTTGGTGGACTATTCTCAGTCCAGCTGTGACACTGAGGTGTTTAAAAACTCCAGCAGCACTGCTGTGTCTGATCCGCTCAGACCAGCACAACACACACTAACACACCACCACCACGTCAGGGTTACTGCAGTGCTGAGAATGATCCACCACCCAAATAACACTTGCTCTGTGAGGGTCCATGGGGGTCTGGACCACTGAAGAACAGGGTAAAAGGGGGCTAGCAAAGTATGCAGAGAAACAGATGGACTACAGTCTGTAATTGTAGAACTGCAAAGTGCACCTATATAGTAAGTGGAGCTGATAAAATGGACAATGAGCGTAGAAACAAGGAGGTGGTGAAAAAATGGGCAAAAACAGTTTCACTATTGCTAAATATATATATATCATATAAAACAGTTATTACATACATAATATGTAGCATCTGTATGCCTGCGTAACATACAAGCACATGAAGGGGAGTCAGGTTTCAGCACTACACCTCTTGTCTAATATAGCTGCATTCATCTACATGGAGAACTTAGGTTTATTATTCACTGTATGTTCTACTGTGTTCTACATCACACTGACAAATCTACATGACCTTAATGAAGACCTGGATGTGGTTTGAGTGGGTTAAGAGACGTTTTGTGGATGTGTTTATCCAAAAGATTTGGGTGACTATTGACTTCTAGTGTCTGTTAGCAATGTTACACTTGTAGCTCCAGTGCTAAACTAAAGAAGCAAAATTTGAACACTAAACAAGTCTTGGTTGATTGACATCTGAAACAAGTGGAAAATTGTGTAGAGTAGGTTTTTATACAGAACAATTCCTTTAACACTTCCCTTTTTTGCCTCTACAGTGGAGAAGGACCCTTGTCAGCTGAATCCCTGTCTGCATGGCGGCAACTGCCTGAGGGATGGCGATGGCTACAGCTGCCTCTGTCCTCAAGGCTACTCCGGAGAGAGCTGCGAGATTGGTAAGTGACCGGATGCCTGTTTCCAGCAGTGGGTGAGGGCTGAGGTCAAAGGGGTCAAGCACTCTTGAAGGAGGCTAAAAGTGACTGAAGGTTGATTGCTAAGCTTCTGTGAAGTTGCTGCCGCCGAGCGCGATATCGATCACATTTATGCTAATGCTGCTGCTGATGATGGTGATTATATAGACAGTGACAATGAAGGCAATGATGACGGCCATACTGCAATGAGGGGCTGATATAGCACATGTCTTCATCCTTCTTTTCTCCACTCTGGGCACAGGGCTTGTAATTTAGCACTTTAGTGTGGTTTATAGATGATAATATTGCAGAAGCTTGATTTCAGCAGCAAGGCTATGGCAGCCTGCTCTCAAGTGGCTCGCTCAGTCTTGTGTAAGGAGCTGTGAAACTTAACAAATGTTATTTTGCTCAAAACTTCACCATTAAAGGGGAATTCCATCTGTTTTTTCTTAGCTTCTGCAAAATTCAATCGCTGGGATGAACAGGAAGTCAGAGTGGTTTGATGTGAAATCTCAGATTATGATTTTTTTTTGTTTTTTTTTAATATTTACATGGTTGTCCAATTACACAATTGTCCATGTGATAATTAGTCCATTTTTACTGAATATAATTATCATACTTATATTAAAACTCTGCAAAATTCTCTTATTTCATTAAGTTTTCTTTGCAACAAAATTATTAAAATTTTAAAACAGCCAACAAAAAATTGTCCACTCAGATTTTTTTTCTAGTTCACCAGGCTAGCTCTCCTATTGGTTAGGCCTTCAGGAGCTTAACTAAAGCTCTTATGTATTATATTAACTGGCAACATAATTAAAAGAGAAACTAACCAAATTTTTCATATTAGATTTTACATTTCCAATATGTGGGACTGTTTTTTTTTTTGTTTAAAAAAGGGCCATAAATGTTGCACTAGTGCTAACGTAGAATTAGTAATCCCATTTGGGCTCTAGCAGAAATGAGCAACTATCATAGAGGTGGGTTTTTTCTTGTTTTTTCTGAAGGCCCAGTAGAACCCCTAATAGTTAAGGTTCACCCTGGCTGTTCATGAATGCAAGATATATTTCTCTTGTAGATATAAATGTGAGGGAGGATTGTGTAAAATGGTTATGAGCACTTTGTCTGGTGCCTGAGACTTTGCTTAAAATGGTTTTGAAATAAAGTTTTGGCCTTTAACATGTGTTTTAAACATACATTTATAGCAGAAATTTATATGTTGGGTGTTCTGAGCCAAACTAGTAACGAATCGAAATGTATTGCTTTGGATTTATGACTATTTTAATCAATATTATCAATATTGCTAATAAAACTCAGAAGACATGGATGCTACTGGTCATTTTCAATAGTAAATAAAATGGATATATTTGCCTTGTAGACATTGTGACTCCTGGTTCCCATCACCACCCCATTCTACATCAAACCACTCTAAATGACTTTGTTTACAACTCAGTGACTGAATTATGCAGAAATTGGTAGAATTCCTGTTTAATGCCTTTTGGCTTGATGAGGATCATGAGCATTGCTCAGGCAGAGTAGTTAACACTGGTTCATACTTCTTAAGCCCTGTTGAAATGAAGCTGCTGATTAGCTTCATCAGTCTGAGATATGGCGGTTTCTCTGTGGATGGGAACAGCTGGCAGTGGAGAGAGAGCTCCTCTCTCGTAGAGCAGGGTGTAGAGGGGTCCTGTACGTTCTGCACTTCTCACAAAGGTGAGAATCTCCCGGCTCTGACGGAGGGCTTTAGCAACGACCACAACTTTCTCTGGCCAGGAGGAGAGAGCCCAGGGAACAGAGAGGGAAATGGAACTAAGGGCCAGATGTACTAAGCCATTTGCACCTGGTTGAGGTGCAAGTAGGACACATTCTGCCCACAAAAACATTCGCTATGTAAGAAACTGGCATATGAGCAGTTTATGAGCCATGTACGTCAGTGGGGCACCATCAAGGCCTAATGATGACTTTTGTTTCACTGAATTATCATGCATGTTGTATTTAAGCTCTGCAAGTATTGTAGCTGTGCTCTTTATTCATTGTTACATTTTGGTTGGAAACTAAAGGATTAAAGTCTTGAACAACAGAAAATGGACCAATCTGGATATTTTTCCTAGTGGTACCTAAGTGAATACAACCAAGTGAGCTCTCTCATTAGTTATCATTGGTTGATTGCTTTGTCAGTTATGCTAGTAGTCAATGCAACATGTCAGGCCTTCTGTTCAGCTCCTGAAGGCCTTGACAGAGGAATCAACCAATCATATTTTGTTTCACAATTGGACCAAATTTGTGAGGAAAAAAAAACAGCCATAAAATGCACTAGTGCTAACATACAGTTAGAAATCCCCTAGGGATGCTAGCAGGAATTTGCTTTGCAAATTGTTTTTTTTCCTTCTTTTTTGATCATGTTTTCACATTCATGGTCTGAACAGAACACTGAAGCAATGGTTCCATTATCAGGGAGCATATTTACAACCATTTCATAAAATAATAGTCCATGGGGGTACTTTTAGAGGCATTAAACTCAAACGTCTGGTTCCTATCACCACCACTGTGAACAATTCTGACTCAGTAAGTTTCTCTAGTACACTGCATTTCATTCCAAACCACTCTGAATGACTTTATTTACATCTTTATGATATAAAAGTTTTGAAAATTTGGTGGAATTCCTTTTTAACAATGGTAGTAGTCATCATGATTATGTGAGCCTTCAGCACATGCTGAAAGAGTACAGGCCATCAGAACAACACCGTTTTCACAGCATAACACAGTTTTGACTCTCTGTTAGCGGCTCCTGAGGCACATTCATTGTTATTGTTTCCCAAATTCTACTGTTTGAGCTGAAGAAAATTTACATCCCAGTAGAATGTTTTGTAGGAAAGAACTTTGTTCATGAACACCACTGTCTATAGTGCATTTATTAGGCACTCCTGTGAGCAGTTTGCATGATTAACTATGGCCTTAGTGAACTGAATGGTAATTTCGGACATTTTGAGTGTGTGTTGGGGCATTGTGAGTGTGTGTTTGGACTTCGTGAGTGTGTGTTGGGGCTGCATTGAGGCTTATTTCGCGCTGAAGATTTTCATGTACATGCTGTGAGTGCAAATGCAGTGGGGTAGCTGGTGGTTCCCAACCTTAATGCTGCTAAAGTACCCCTGTTTCTTCTTGGTGTTTTCCTGCTTTAACACACCTGATCCAACTAATCAGCTCATTAAAGTCAACATGAATTGGAAATTATAATCATAAGTCATGATGTATTTCTCTTTTGCACCGTGACGTATTTCTTAGCGATCAGGGATCTTAGTGATCACAGTATCAGGGAAACAGTATCTGAGCTGGCTAAGTGATTCTCTCGATGATAGGTGGGGGTTGTGGTGGGAGTTTAAGGTAAACCATGATGCTATTGGTTAATATTATTGTATTATATAAAAATTAAAGCTCTGACTCTGGACTTAATGTTTCTGTAGTGACATGAAAACATGGAATAGCATTTTCTGAATAAAGTTTTTCTTTTGATCAGAAATTCAGCTCATGATACGTCTAAATCTTTCCACTTAACTTTAAACGAAATCAAACAATTCTTAAAAAAATTACAAAAAAAGTCTGAATACTTCATTGTTTTTGTTAATTTGCTGTGAGGCTGCAGTTTGAACTAATTTGGTAGGATGGTCCACATTTGAGTTGTAGACATTATAACCCCTGGTTCCTATCATCACCACTGTAAAGAAACCTGGGTAGTTTGTCTACCATCTCACATCAAACCACTCTGAATAACTTTGTTTAATGACTGTGTTTTTCTCAACCATTGACTTATGGCTGAACGAAAAATCCTCCTTTAATCAGAACTGGAATTAATTAGAACTGTAATTATCTTTAATATGACCAGGAACATGAATTAACAAGGTAAAAAAGGTCCATTTCGATTTCATGTCGACATTAACAAGCCCATCCTGGATAGAGGCAGGAAAGCAGTAAAATGCAGAGGCTGGAATAAATACTCCAAGTGTTCCACTGATATAAGGGGTGAAATAAGGACTTTTGCTGCCAGTGTAAAACTTTAGGACATTTGTGGTGATAAAAGCTCATGATATAAGCAGCTAATCTGTTGATTGTAGAAATCATAACAAGATGAAAATTCTGTTTTATTTCGTAGAAATTAAGTTGTAAGAAAAACTACAACCACTAATTTTACCTGTAACACTTTATTATTTCATTTGACTTAATTTGTGCAAATGTCAACAGATTAGCTGCCTTTGGGTGTTTAGACCAAAACAGACTCGAGGCTAGAATGTTCAAAAGCCCAGAGGACAGCTACAGACGTATGCCAGCTCAGCTTCGTTCTGCTTCAAAGTACACAAGAAGCAAGAAAAGCTGAAACTTTAAAGAGCTCCTATCATGGAAAACCACATTTTCCCCACTTTTCTGAAATATGAGTTTGATGTAATAGGCAAACATTTTCAAAGTTTCAAAACATACCCCACTACCACATACAGCCCAGCCACAAAAACAGCACATTTTGAATCCACTGATTTTGTGCTAACAGAATGCAACACAAAAGAATTGCATACATGTATATATACATGTATATATAGCACATTCTGAACCTTAAATACGTTTTGTTACAAAAGCCGTTATTTATCATTGTCAAGGTGTTGCAAGTTAACATTTTACAGCAGAAACAGTCAAACGTCAGCACAGTCAACCGGTTTATTAGAAGCCTGGCCACTTCCTATTTCCCCCGTTATATCAAAAACAGGACTGCAAAAAGCCAGAGGGCACCCACCTTACTTTCTAAACACTAACCCAGAACTTTCCTTTAATTTTAGAAAGTAGAAGTTTGTATTTCACTAAAAAAGCAAAGGAAACTTACCTGTATGTTTCCTTTTTTCTACAGCAAATGGGTTTTGGGCAGCAGGAGGCGGGCATTACTGCTACTGAGTGCTGATTGGTTGGCGAGTGGAGCAGCTCATTGGCTGTTCACACTCACTGACATC